GTTATTTCCTATAGTTATCATTTTTTAATGTGCAGAATAAATTTAGCTGTATGAGAAAGTAGCGTATAGAAATATAATAATTAACGGACTTGAAGCATTGCAAACTCCTAGCGAAATAAGACTAGTCATCGTATACGAATCTCAGCAGATTTATGTCGACGTTAAGTAAACTAACTATAATTATCATACTAAAAGAAAACAATTGCAGGAGGCATAAATATCCAAAGTAATGCTGCATCAACAAAAATTATTGTTTTGTTCTTAATTTAATCATTCTAAACTGAATAGTGCCTTTTTATACATTGTTTTCCTACGGGTAAATTCTATAGGAAATGCTAATTTCAAATGTAGTGCTATTTATCTTCGACGGCCCATAAATATTCAATAGTTACAGATGCCAATTTCGTGGATAAGTTGCGAACTAGTTTGTTTAAGTTTGTGCTATTTAAGTTGGTTATTTTGTAAAGCCAATAACTGGAGATGATCGTTCTATAACCATTTTCAAAGAATAAATTTAATACAAACTACTAAACAATGATGAAATTGATTTTATCTATCCTAATTTTAACGGTTAACTTACTGACTATTTATGCGAAATTAAATCATTATCAGTACTGCATCATTGGAAGTGGACCTGGAGGTAAATTATATAATTACTCCCTTCGCTGTAGTGTTGAATTTAAAAAAGTACAATATTCCTTTAACTTAACCTGCTTGTATTATATTATTATTAATGCTCAAGGAAAACTTATTTATATGATGTAAAAATTTTTAACTAAAATTCACCTTCTCTATTAAAATAGGGCTACAAATAGCCTACTATCTGCAACAAGCTAAAAGAAATTATATCATATTTGAAAGAAATAATCAGTCAGGTATTATATCCGACGAAGTTCGTTGAGAAATGTTTGAAACGGTGATTTCAGCAAAGATAGACAAATCATTTCAGTCATCTAAACAGAAAATATTTTTTGGCCATTAGACCATTTTACTGTTCATAATTTTCAGTTGAAAAAAGAAATTGAATCTATTCGAGCGGACTACTTGCGTTAATCTGTCTAGACATTCTTTCGTTAATTTTAACTAATAGTAAATTTAAATGTCTCTATTGCTATCTAGCTAATGTTCTATAACGAAGTTAACAGAAATTAAATGCACCTTCAGATTCTGAAATTAAATAGAACTCAGGAGTTATTTATGGTTTTATATTAGCATTTACGTATATATGATAGTTTCGTGCATGAGGTAATGCTTTCAACTCTAATCCCTTAGAGGTACATAAAATAGAAATTTACAATGATCAGTAGCACTATCAATAACAGAACTAAAAAATATTAATATCTGCAGGATGCACGATTTTGAGATACAGCAGATACCGTACATCATGAATTAGTAGTAAGAACGTGGAAATTCAAGTATTATTTCAACAGTAATGACTAAGTTACAGCAGTAATTTTTGTTCGCCTTCATTTTTTTGTATGGTTATCTTTATAATCTCAAACCCAGGATGGTTATTAATTTTGATACCATTTGCCTGTCGAGATATTTAGTGACGAGTATTCTTTTTCAATATGAACTTATGCTTTGCATATTTATCAAGTAATGGTCTGTTCCATTAATAATTTCTAGGTTCATTTTTTAGCCTATATCCTCGTCATCGCAGATTATTATCTATCAATAAAATACAAACAGGTAATTTAAAATATCTTACTACCAAGTGCCTTCATGATTTATTGTTACTTTCTACCCTTTCTTATAATACGGTTAATCTACGCTACGATTGTTGAGTGAATAGCGAGCTTAATGTTACTGTTCACCAAATTAATGATGAAATAAAGATTTCCAGTTATATGCTACGTACCGTAGGTAATTGGAATTACCTTGACGTTGTTCATAGTAGGCTTATTCAATTTTTCCATTTATTCTAATATAGGTAGCGAAAACTATCATTTTAACTTAAGACATGACTGGAATTCACTATTAAGTCATGATGATTCACTGCGGATGTCTCGATACTCTAAAGACTATTATCCACATGCTGACGATATGGTGATTGATAGTTGTATTTGCAATAATTTAGCTTTATTTTGCTAAGATACACTAAGGTTGGTGACACTTTGAACCAAGATAGAGATTAAGGAACAACACCAGTTTATTAATATACTTTACTTTATAAATTAAAAAGCCGTTTAAGTGAGTCTTGCAATAGGTATAACATTATACTGTCTGACACAATCCTTCCACTATCATCTACACTAATTTGGATATTACTTGCAAGTCCTACACTAAAATCTTAAATCATCTTACAATACATTACTAAATAAAGAAATATTCTACGAAGGAGAATACTAAATATTAACCTTCATTACATATTGATATTTAAATCAGCTATAGCTTTAATAGCTTTGCCTTAATTTGTTGTTTATAAGCGTACATGCTTTTATACTGCCTCTAAATCGATTTCCATCATCCCTAGGTCCGTTACTTAAATAATTTCGCAAACCGATTGCAATTAAATATCCAATACAACACTAACATAATTCAAATTTCGCGTGGTTTGCATCGTGGCGTTGTGTTGTTTCTTTTAAGAGACCAAAATAAAACTTTTCATTTATGCAATGTGACTATAATAAGGTTTAAAATGCAATTACGTGAATTAGAAATATTTACAAAGTTTAGTCATGTCCACGATTACAAGTCTATTTTTTTCTAGATTATATGAAATAGACTTGAAGATAAATACATAACCTTCTTGATCTTTTAGCACAGGTCTTTTCAAACCAAATAATTATGAAGACGTAGTAGGTATTCAATATACAGAGGTTAGTTACAGATAATAAGCGTAAGAATTAAGTACTTTTACAGAGCTCTATCTGAAGTCTAGAAATGATGTAAAAATCTTGGCTGTATCTTATATCAGGCATTATAATTAGAGTAACAAAACCATGCTTATCTAGACTAATTCAGACGTAAATAGCTTAACCATCATTTACGTTTAGTTTGGAAATAGGAATTTTCCTCAGTATCCTATATATTTTTTTTTACAAATGAATACAAAACTGTAGTAGCATATAACAATATAAATCTTTACAGATCAAAAATATCCAGTAATCTAATGAGATTAAACATTTAGCTTTTATGCATATATTATCCTTATCTGCTTTAGGGATATGAATCAGTATCGGTTAATAGTTCCGATTTTATCGACAAGAATGTTTTAATCCTTGGCCAAGGCATGTCAAGTTTTCGTATACATGTTCATTTACCTTAGACTATTTGTAGATCAACTCTTTATTATAATAATAATAACAAAAATCGCATGTAAATAAAGCCTTGTCAAGATAACCAGTAGAGAATAAACCAAATGACAGCTATTAATATGACTTGTTGTAGGAAATTCTGCCTTCGAGACTGCTCAAGCTATATCACATACTGCTGGCCTACTCCATCTTCATGGAAGGTATATCAAGCATTTTTTATTTCAAGATAGCTATCAGCTAGTATAAGCAAAGAATTTCTAACCTACACATATAATCTCAAACTAATTTGCAATTGTACTATTCTTATAGAAATAGACTTCGAATAGCTACATCGACGCATTATATAGGAGATATTAGGTATCGTTAGTCCGCTTTTTGCGACGGTTTTATATTTACAAATAGCCTAATCATATGCTTTTAGTAGATATCTCTATATATTGGTTTCGTATATTGCTATTTATAAAATCAAAATTAATTTTCCTTTAAAATATGAATTATACAGGATTAAGAGCGGTTAATTCTCGAGTTATCGATTCATACCAACTTAAAACCTTAGATGGACTTGTAGGTAAAAAAATTTCAAATATAAAATGATATCTTAACAATTTATTCAATCCTGGCTTGAAATATTATGTAATATTTAGTGTGTTAAATCAGACAGGTTACAAGATATTTTAAATTAACCAATAATTTATATTACCTACAGTCGACACATTACGCAAAGATGTAGCATAGCTGCAGAAATCATAACCAATCCATGGTGTATAATTAAGATAGAAAATATTTAATTTTGGCAGTGTTAAATTAAGAGTAATGTACTCCATTCATTTAACGAATTTAATAGATAACATAAAATATTCAGATCAGTAATTCTATCACGTATCAGTAAAGTTTTGACTAGCTTTCTTATGAGCCTTTGTAAATGCCGTTGCAGAGGGCGATATAAGAAAATTTGGATTTATCAAAACTGAAGACGGAAAAATTAGAATAGGTCGATTAATGCGCGAAGGTCACAAAATTATAAGTAAGCTCCACGAAACAATAGTCTTTTATGATATATGAGTAAGTATAGCTTGCAAATACATCTAGCAGTGACTGATTAAATTTGGCTTGTAGATTTATCAACTCATTATATAATAATTTAGAATATGATTACAATTGAAAAAGCTGAAATAAATTTACCATATCAAATTTATAGTTGATACAGGAGGTATACGTACAAAATATCACCATGTCATTCGCTGCTTAGGTTTTCTGGTAAGTTAATAAGTTTCTAGTAAATGATACTAAGAAATAAACTGATGCACTGACTAAAAATGTTTAAGTTGACACACAAAATTGTACTTGTAATTTTCTCTTACAGTTTGACAATTCGATATTTAAGAAAGGAGCCAGGCCAAAAATGAGGAAAAGTAATTTGAGCCGTTATCCTAAAATTAGCTCAAGTTACGAATCCGTAACGGTTCCTCATATGTTTTTCGGTAATAAGATTGTTCTAAGTGAATAGCTTTGATGAAACTTTACGCCTAAAAGACAAAATTTTATCCCTTAATTCAGGGATTATAATCTCTACATTATATAGACTTTACGTCATTCCTACAGTAAATCAATTGAGAAATTTGTGCAGTTAATTACAATGAAACTGCACTCTGTAAATTATCTTGCGCTTTTAGAAAAATATGAAATGAGGTTACAAACGAACTCATTACATAACTTATTTAAATACAATGGGAGAGAACTTGACTGATAGGTGTCTTATCTGTAATATTCCTTGAAAGATGATTGAAATCGCCGTTTTATGCAATGACTAAATATTGAAGCTACTAAAATTTGATTTTGGTACTATTCAAATGTTGACCTGATTTCAGCTGGGTCTTTAGTTCACTCTCTGGATTATCGACACTCTGGTGGATGTTGTATTCAAGGTTTTCGATATGCAGGTAAAATGATTAAATAGATTTGCTAGCATATACATCCACTTAAGAACATGTTTATTCAAACTATTAGTTTTTCCACTTTGCAATATTGTTGTATGACGATTTCTAATTTTGCATGATATATTCGAAGGAATGTCGTAGAGAAACAACTGTATCTGAGACGCTAAGCTCATATCTAGCTAAATGATAACCTATGTTGCAATATTTACTGTAACTTTTTAACACAGACAAGTGCTTAAAACAATCTTAAGATTCCATTTAATATACAATTTTACACAAACAGTGTCAATCTTACAATATTACTTTAGCAATTTCTTTAACTAACGATACATATAAGAGCTATTTCTGATATTGTAATTACTTTATCTACATGGTGAAATTTATGTTGCTAGTGAATTCATTTATAACACAGTAATCTACTACTTTATCCCATGGGAAGGCTTACGATGCAAGTAAAAAACATTTGCAGTGTAATTTTCACTTTTAATAAAAATTAACAAAATAATTTTTTAGCTCGAGCTTTGCATTACCTATTGGAATGGCGATATCACCGAAATCCTTGGCCTTCAATATCTATCAAGACTACACATCTACTTAATCATGTGATGACTCGTATTAATCAAGCCTCAGTAAGTACATAACTTTTAATTGCAAAATTATTTCGGCATTACAAATTTTTATACCAAGAAAAAGTGAATAATTTAAAGCATTCTATATCTACCAATTCATAGTGATAAATTAAATAAAAGTTTATTTTGGGGGCTGCAGAGATCTCTGAGTAATGTATTTATATCATGATAATTATAGGGGCTTTACCAAATGTTTGCTATTTTGACTGATGTCATTTTAATAGGTAAAATAAATAACTATGACAAATAATAAATCGGTTAGCCTAATTAAAGTACAGTCTATATTTTAACTTGGATACATCCTAGAAATAATTTCGCTATAGTAGCTACAAATATTGTACATTAGATACGTTAGTAATATAAAAATTTAATCTTTATTTTAGAGTGAATTCTGATATACGCTTAGGATGGCGTTATTTTACTAATCTCTATTCATAAAATATGATAGGAGATGATCATCAGCATCAGTACTTGAAAGAAATTCCAATCTTAGTTTTGCCTGAGCTCTCAAGCAAGTTTATTTCATTTTATTTCCATTCTTAGCATAATTTTTTCAACGTATTATAGTCAAGGGATTTAGTAACTAATGCGTCGATTTTCTATAATCAAAAAAATAGATTTCTCTACAATCTATATAAGTAAATATTAATTTGATCATGATTTATGTAATTTATTAATTTATTAATCTTAATGTAGGTGTTCGGTTTTTATGAGTATTTCCAACTACTTAGAGAACATTCATTTATTTTTTTCTGCTAAATATCTTTAACACTTAGCTCCCTTAATTTCAGAATTAACGGGTCATATGATCACGCATGGTTTCATTACCTTAACTTTTGAGTATGGAAAAAACTTTTCAGAGCCTGGGTAAGTATATTTGAATCATGATTTCTCTAATATAAAATGTAAAATGTCGGACATTATCGTAGTTTTTAAATCAGATATAAGGTTTATAGAGTAAAATTCACGTTCTAATAGCTTGATACGATAATTAATTAGTATTTTCGGTCCCCTTAGCACGGACACATTGGGTACAGACAATTTTAGCCACACGGCCAAATCGGCTCATCGAAGCAAAAATATCCACCCGATTCTCCGCTATTACAGCCGACCTTTTCAAAGTAGAGAAATTATACTTCTGAATTGTATATTAGAATAGCAGTTATTCATATCATTATGATATCCTAATTTTGATCGCTAAAATGTATTCCATTACTTATTACTCATGAAAACACTTCTATTAGAAACGGAAAGGAACGGAAGACTTCCTACTCCAGATAAAGTGCATCATGTTGTTGAGGACTTTTTATCAGATTGGTATGGAAAAAGTTTTATCCTAATAATATTCTTATATTTATTCTAGCTATGTAACGATTTTACCAATCCAGGCTATCTTGTAAAATACCTTATTCGGATTTAAACAGGACCAGCTACAATCACCACACTTATCAGCTGCAACTCTTTCTTCAAACTCTGCTCAAAGTAGATTTAAACGAGTTTTACGCCGATTCTTGTTTCAAGGTAGATACTTATCTAAAGATGAAATTGATTTTAACCAAACAAATAATACTGAGCTTACCTATATTTAGCTTTATACTTGAGGCGTTAAATTACTTTCAATAATTTGGTATTTAATTTAATTTAATCCAAATTCTTGTTTTAAACTTACGTTTGGACAAGAATTATATTTTATAGACTGGCTACTGTAATTGATGTGATACTATATCAAATACTGTAGTTAATTATGTTATTATTTTGTACAGCGATAATAGCGCTGTAGTATTACCAGCCAGGCTTTCGTGCCCCAGAACCCACATCTTAATAAATTATACGTTTCCGTATATAATACTCTTCGCGATTATCTTGTACATTCTTTTGGTACAACATAGACACGAGTATTCTTTAACCTTTAAACTAAATTACTTAATTCACTACATAAAATTATAGACTTCCATGATTTCAAAGTCTATGCCTCTAAGCTGCTCCAAACCTATTCTGCAAAGATAGAAAATATCCTTCTACATCTTTGGTGGTTTTCAATCGAAGACGAAAATTTAATGATTCTAAATATCTTTTGCGTTCAATATTAGTCAAAGTGACTGTATGATAATGTAGAATGATTAATAATTGACAATAGATTGAAAATCAATAAAACATCTGGCCAGGTTCGGTTGATATGATTTTCATATTCTTATTCTTGCAAAAAGCCTAAATTAAAGCCAATATCTATATTTCTAAGAATGCATATTATGTGTTGCAATAACAAATCTACTTTTTCATATGAAGCAGGGGCAACAACAAATTACTTTGTTCTCATCCTTTTAGTCTATAAAGTTATCATAATCATCAAGATTAATAAGATATCTCTCCTAGTATATTAGTGTAATGAAGGTTAATTTTTAGAAGTTTCTTTCAAGTTCTTGTTTGGTAATTATCCTAGCTTAGTTTTTGTATCGTAATAAGTATTCTAGCTTTAAAAAAATATAACTTATTTGGTTGATTAAAATGGTAAAGTTTACTTAGTATCTTAGTATATTGTTGTGACATTCATTAATTAATGCATCATCAATATTATAATTTTGTTGTGTGATGAATCATATGTTGACACCTAGCTACTAATTAACTAATATTAAATGTCATAGAAATGACAGATGGTTATCAGTTGCTAGTCGTAATTGCAAGTTGTGCGTTCAATCGGACATTTTAATAAAATAGCTTCTAGAATAAAGTTTTGATCCTTAACGTGAGTAATCTATCGTCTAAGACTCGAATCTAAGTTTGGTTGATTAAAGAGTGCTTAGAGTTAGTTGCTTAGATAGTTAAGTCTACTTTAGAGGAAAGAATCCCGTTTAATTCTTGTGTTACAATCTCGGTTGTGATAATTGTAAACCCGACTGCTTTATTCCGGTTAGAAGTAAAGATAATCCGTAGCATAATTTTCGTTAAGAATCAGATATTATGATTTTGTAATTCAAGCGATATATTTAGTTAATAGAATATATCAGTGCTAATTTTGATCATTAATTACAGTAGAAGTTAATGTTACTTTTTAATTTCAGACAGTATAAACCCAAAATATTTGATCTGCGATTGTTATTTTGTCTTAGTTTATACTGTAGAAATGTACGGTTTCAAGCTAAACTATACTTAGTATTAATTAAGTAGTTTTCGGGAATCTAGGGTATAATTATCTTATCATGTGTGTTTGATTGTTAGTTTAATTTGGAGTACTTTAGAATGATAGTTGAATAGTCTAACGCTACTAAATACTCTCATATTCTAGCTACTTAATTTAAGATGGTATGATTAAAATAATCAATCAATCGACTATGTCAAAAGCTACTAACTTATAATACGTTAGAATTGTTAAAAGTCTGAAATTAATCTGCTATCATTGTTTGTAACTGAATATAAGAAATCACACTATGCTGATAATAGTTTGAATGAACAAATATGTAAAATTGAAACAGGACATGTTAAATTACGACACCTTGAACACCTAAAGGCTGATAAAGAAGCTGTAAACATTTTAGCTTCATGAGAAAAGTTTGGTAATCAGTTACACAGTGGGAACTGGTAAAGCAATTAGAAACAGCATAAATTAGCTGTAAAGGATTAGCCGGCCTCTAATAAGATGAAGACTTGATAACTGTATTAAAAGACTCAGAGATAGCCTGTACAAAACAAGCAATTCTTACTAGACAAAAATAAACACTTCTTTATACTCCAACAGAATAAGAAGAAATCAATCATTTATGACTACATCCAATCTAGATCCTCCCCTTTATTTACTTGAAAAGCTTTCAAACTAATTATCATCCATATTGCTTATAAATGAGCTCATTTATGGTTTACCACTATTATGGAATAAGCAAATGAATAATTAATTGTAGTCTGAATAATGTGACGAGGAAATATACATAAAATTGTATTGGACATTCCGTATAACTATGTTAGTGCGGTAATAAGTAACGATAGAACTATAATAATGGAACTATATTATATTTAGGGTCCTACCAAGTTGATTCTGAAAAGTACTTCATAATTAGATAGTAACATTAAATTAAGGAAAACGAGTACAGTATAGTGCTTTTAGTAAATTTAATTCTTTTTTATCATGGCAAACATCTTTAGCTTTACCTTCTTATTATTGGCTTTGCCCTTCATTATTCAATCGAAGTTTATCAAACATCAATATTGTATCGTTGGTGCTGGACCAGGAGGTAATTTTTTATCGTTTTTATGTTTAATGATTTAGATTTTAATAGCATCTATGTTGCAATTTAGTTATTGTAAGACATGAAATACGGCAAATTATTTATCATAATAATAAGGTTAGATTTATTAAGCCACCTCAATATTATGAAACGATTAGGATTACAAATGGCCTATTTTTTACAGCGAGCTGGAAGAGATTACATCGTTTTTGAAAGGCATAATATTGCAGGTAATCCATAATATTGTGTAGAAGAAACAATCTTTCCACCGAACAATCAGGTTGTAACACTTTCGGCACCAAATTATGGGCTCGAGTCAATATTTGATAGTATAGCGTTAATTATCCATATTTTATTCTTGTTACTAAGCATATCGAAGGTTATAGACGATTGATTACTTTTAGCATGCTCACTTTAAGAGCTTTGAACGTCAAGATAATTTTATTCTCAAAGCAATCTTAATCTTATCAACTTTGGATAAGTTACATGTTTCAATTAAACTGTGATCAGTGTTGGATATCAGTATTTATAATCCGAAGAATTTTATTGTGAGGATATCTGCTGCTTTCAAACTCCACATTACTTGGTTCCTCTTGAATAGAATCATTAACCGCTATTTTCTAACACAGATTTCGTAATTTCTCCTATGGATATACTTTTTCTTTTTACAACTGTTGTACGAGAACGAATGAGCAATTTGTGGTAGTAGGAAATATTTTAATTTAATCTTTTTCGATCCTTCTAATAACGATTTAATGTTAACTACAAATGAGATCCGAATGAAATCATTCTTCTATATATCTTCGTATTTTTATTAACAGTGTTTAATAAATGTCAAGGTCTCTGTAGGACTTCATAATCTTCCATCTTGACCAAATTCAATTTATCAAGAGTTAAATTTACAACTTATCGCTTCATTCAAAATTATTTATAGAAATTTGACCTTAACTTTCTACAGTAACTGTTTCGCCTGTGTAGAGATAACTACTTGAATAGGAATAGCTATTTTCTACTTTAAATCTCTTTTTTGATTGCTGTTTAAGTTAATCTATAGTTTTATTAAACCTTCTAGGCTCATTTTTCACCCACTATCCGCGACATCGTCGTTTACTATCCTTAAATAAGCAGTACACAGGTGAAAAAGCTTATTATTAATAATTTGGTAATATGGCGCGATAATATAGCTATAATGAAAGCATCAGATTACTTAGATGTTTCTTGGCGATTAGTATCAAGTGCTGACAAATTGGAAATTAATTGATTTGGCTTGTAATTGTTGATTAGGTTCCTTAAATTCCGAGTTCAATCTAAGACATGACTGGAATACTCTTCTAAGCGATAATGATTCTTTAAAAATGACTCGTTATTCCGACGATCTTTATCCTCATGCTGATCAATTGGTAATTTTTGATCGTTAAACAAGTTTGGATGCCGACATGTTGAAATTTTAGTATTCTGTAGTCCTTGCAATTTAGAAATGTGATATTGATAATAATGTGATGCTAATCTATTGTAAAATTCACCTTCATTATACAGATTAGAATTTTTTTAACAAGCTAGCCATCAGATCATTAATATCCTCTACATGTCGATCTTAAGTTAATCGTAGTAATTATTCCTAGTAATAGTAAGCTTCCAAATTCATAATCAACAGTAAATTAGGAAATGAGCAGTAATAGTTTACCCAAGTGTTATTATCATATCGTATTTTAATCCTCCATTCAGCTCATTGATCCACTTAAAATCAGTAACGTAAATCAACCATAATATCGCTGCTTAGCCGGAAAGTAATCCTTGTATCATCTTTAAAATTGTACCATTAATATGAAATTTGTAAACATTTGCAAATTAACATTAATGGACTAATAGAACTTATAAAATCTGCCTCCTCATTTACACTACATATACACTTATGCTAAACATTTTTAGTATTCATCAAGTAAAAACATGAGGAAGAATTTGTTCCATCTATCATGATTACATTAATCATCCTCCATACAGAAATGCAGTAAACGGTTTAAAACGTTTAGTACGCAATTCTTGTAACAAATTTTAACTTCTAAAATAGTAAATTAATATTATTTCATTACATGGACTTTGATTTTCAAATTTCGTATCCAATGGCTTGAAGTAATCTAAATTCCTAATTACTTTGATCTGATCTCCAGGTTCGTTATCTAAATGATTACGCCAATCGACTACAACTAAATATCCAATATCAAACAGATATTGTTAAATTATCCCGAGGATATCTTAATGGTATCAATATGTTTAAGTTAATTGACCAACATCAAAATATCCATTTGTGTAATGTAACCATCATTAGGTATGCTTAATTGGCTGGAATATCCAAATTCCAAGTCTTGTTACTACACCTGTAGTTTATACTGCACAAGTAGCACTAACATTATTACTATAATTAAATCTATGCAATTATCCAGCACCGGACTCTCAAAACCTAAAATACCAGATACAACCGGTATGCAATATGCTGAGGTAAGTGAATAGTAACGAGCAAAGGTGGTAGCAAAACAATATAACTACGCAATTGTTACCATTCTCCTTTGCAATTAACTTAGGGACCTATCGTAGTTGAACTAACTCTCAACTATACAAATAAGCTACTAATGAGTGATAGGGTTTAAATACTTCACTTTATTTACGTTAATCTTAGTCGTAAAATGTATTAAAGAAAAACGTAAGAATATTCTTAGCAATAATAGTCAAGTGATCTTGCAAGTGACTAAAAGGAACAGAGCAGCTAAGTTAGTGCTCGGCATTTTATAGTCTCGGCCTACGCCGACGATGCACTTGCGAATATTCTTGACATAGCGACTAACACTGTACAGTATACATATTCTAGTCTATTGCATTGGAGAATAGAATAGTTTTAGTTCAAAATCCAATTTACAATTACGAAGAAAACATAGATACAAATACAATATCTCAAAATTAGTGCAGTATCTTCACTTCATTGTCGCATTATTACGTGAACGATATTTCCCCTTTCGTCGAACTTTCCTATTAAAATTACATTCGATATTAGCTGCTTTAACTAATTACAATACCTTGGTTATACCTCAATAATTTTAGCAATTTTAATCCTATACACCACCTTAAAATTTAGCTATATGTTAACAACATTTAAATAATATGAAATTCTTATAATAGAATAATAATGATGCTCTCGGCATTTACAACGTAACGCAAAATCTTTGTATTAATATCCGTCTGTATTAAACTAATTGATACTATGATACGTTGAATTTACGATCAATCTATAGCTAAACTTTTAATTTTCCTGCACATATTTATAGGGCTACGAATCCATATCAACCAATACTTCTGAATATGTAAATAAAAATGTTTTAATTCTAGGACAAGGTAACCCTAATTCTATACTATTCATATACTTTTGACCTAACGAAGTTGAAATCGTATTATTTCACGTTTCTTCACGAAATTTCTATCGTACTTGTAAGGTAATTCTGCGTTCGAAACAGCTCAAGCTATATCCAACGTTGCCGGTCTTGTCCATCTTTATGGCAGGTTTGCATTTATGTGTTGACTCGAGCTAATTAGGTTTACATATTTCAATTTAAGCGCTAGGAGTGTTAGCACCTATGAATTTTACCTACCTGCTCAATTCTGTATATTGTAAGTGGGTTATCTCTAATTAATTTCATATGTAGGGGTGGTGTTCGATTAGCTACATCAACACACTATATAGGAGATCTTAGGTCAGTTAGATCAACAAATTGCTATAGTTGAAGAATGAAACTAAGCACCAAAAATTTCTGTCAACTATGAATAATAATTTTTCATAAGCTATTATAAGGATAGAACTGAATTATCAAAAGTATTTTGTAAAGCAAGGCCTCTTTATACAAAAATAAATTTTTAATATGTGCCGTTTATTTCGATACACTCACATATAGAGCCGTCAATTCCAAGATAGTTGATTCTTACCAACTTAAATCTTTAGATGGTATCGTAGGTAATTCACGAAGGATTTAGATATTAGAATTTATATTAATACATTAGATATAGTATTTTCAATTTTTTATAAATATGATAAACTGTATCTTTCTCTGAATATCTATAGAAGGACCCTTAGAAAACTTTGGAATACTTAAACGTAAGAAAGGATTAATTTCCATTGCTCTTAGGGGTACAAAAGATGAACTTTTTCTCGTAAGTTCATTGCATTTATGGCAAAACTAGTAATTCAGAACTTGATCTAAATACCAATAATAGAGTAGTAAAATTTATGATCGGCAATTACTTACTTTTATTCAAGACCATGATTATTGATAACTATAACTTATAGTTATGTTTATTTCTACTATCAATTTCTATGCGCAGATGATATGACAGGAACACGAAAAGGATATCATCATGTGATTCGATGCTTAGGCTTTGAAGTTAGTATTTATATTTATGTAAATGAACACCTTAAAATGATGGGTGTTAATCATACATATATAGGGGTATGTGTATCAGCTAATTTTCATCCACTGTTAGTAGTAATGTTATCCATTTAAAAATATATCAGTAAAGAATGTCGTAGCAACGCTTAGAAATTAAATTATACTTTAGATAAGTTAATTTTCTTACCATCAAGTTATGTACAGCCTCACCCAGAAATAATAGAATCAAATTATTTTTTCAAGAAACAAATAAAATGATGATCAAAATTAAAGCCATAAAGTTTACCATCTTTTTTAAGCTTGATTTCTCATAGTTGGATTAAATGATTAGCGAAATAGTTTATATTTTCGTTTAGTAATAACGTAATGTTAGTTTCTACTAATCGCTATTCATTATCCTTGATAGAGGGAAATTATTGGCCTTGTGGTGAATGCAATAATTCATAAACTTACCCGATTTTATTTAAATCTATTAAAATTTAGTACGATAGATCTATATTTGGCCAAGGTTGTAGACCAAGATCTGCGAAGAAAGAGTCTATAGAACACTATCCCGACATTAAAGCCAATTATGAAGCGGTTTCTGTAGCTCATATGTACTTTGGTATGGATATATTTTCACCTATATAATTACACAGTAAAGTTTTTTAATCTGATAAACTCTTGTGTCTCGTGTTTTAAATTTGCTATCAAGTCAACTTCATCCGTAAATATATTTATTAGTTTAATCAATCATAATTAACCAAAATATTAGCAATCATTAACATCCAAATATTTACTTCCCTGAACAATTGCTATTTTAGCCGGAGCATTAACTCATTCCTTAGATTATCGACATTCTGGCGGATGTTGCATTCAAGGTTTCCGATATTCAGGTACTAAAAAACTATATTTCATCTCTCAGCTAAATGATATAATTGATCTCAAGGCATGACAGTATCCCAGCATGCTAAGTCATTGCAAAAATTGCAGTAGCCCAGAGTTACTCTACATGCCCATGCTTTATTTAATAAAGGCAGTACATTGATACATATTTAAATTTAAACTTTTACACTTATTTACATAGTTGTTAGTGCATGGCAATCATACTTCTAATATAAAATGACTTATCGTTATTTTAATTTTCAAATTGTTAGTTCGTGCATTACATCGCTTATTAGAATGGCGATATCATCAAGTTCCTTGGCCTGCTAAATTATTATCAAGCGAACAATTATTATATTATCTTAGCATGCGAATAAATCAAGCTTCTGTAAGAAAGATTGTGTTTGCTTATTTCTGCCAAAGAATAATAATTATCGTTTACTAATTCTAAAACACTTATGAAAGTTCAATATATAAAGTTTATATAAAAACAATAATAACTTTACAAATAATATTTGAAACGTTTAAGTATGTAGGATTATTTTCAATATCTTGTATGATTTAATTTAGGGAACTTATCAAATGTTTGGAATGCTAGCTGATGTTGTATTGATTGGTATAGTTTTTCATGACAATTTTTTGCAATTTTAATAGCAAATAGAATGATTATTTTGTATAGTACTATAAATCTTGTAATCGAGACTGTTAATGTATTAAAATTAATACAGGTGATAACCATCAACATTTGTATCTTGAAGAGGTTCCTACACGAGTTATCCCTAATCTTGAAAGTAAGGATATCTGTTATTCCAGTAAAAATATTTTAATATTAATGGTGGTAGTACCGATAGCTGAAATGCCTTTTTTCCACCCATATACTTTAAAAGTAAATTGTTATCTCCGAGTCATTCAATGCTATAATTTATTTATAAGAAACTTCATTATGTTGCCATTGTGTGGTAGCTTACCCTATTTACCGAGCTATACCGCAAGCAGCCTATATTGCTTACTTTATTATCATGTATTTAAATAGATTTAGCTGGACGAAAAGTTACTTATGGGTTTCTAGCCTTAACATTTGAATATGGCAAGAATTTCTCACAACCAAAGTAAGTTGAGTATCTACAGAAACAACAAATGCTAGATGAAATATTTGAATCATAAATTAATTGATTAGTAATGTAGTGTATTAAATTTAGAACCCATAAGTAGTCTTCGCCAATCCTTGTACACAGTCCTTTTCTATTTATCTAATAATAATATTATGTAATAATGATTTATTGATATGCAATATTTTTCACAGTAAAGATACTTTAGATCGGGAAAATTACAGTTTCACGGCAAGAAATGCTTATCGTAGTCGCAATATCCATCCTATACTACGTTATTACAAACATCACATTCGAGGTAAATCAAAAGTATTTTTCATTTTAGGTGCCCAAGTATTAATCTTACAGATCTAGTCTATTGCACACTTTGTAAAAGTCTAATAAACCGCTGCAATTTATTTCCTCTCTTCAAATATTGTAAGCCACTGAAGAAAATGGATTATTACCTGATGCAGATAAAATACATCACATTCTTGAAGACTTTTTGACAGACTGGTGAGCTTCACTTGCAACCATATGTAACATTTTAAAATTAATTCTTGCGTAACGTGTTATGCGCATTTGCATTCTAAATTCATAACATTAATTTCACATTACCTTAGGAGTTCTCAGCTTCACCATCGATTCTATCTTAGATTGTTTATGGAGAATTTACTTAAAACACACTTACGATACTTTGATGCTAGCTTTTGCTGGAAGGTAATGCTAGAAATACCGAACTGCTATTGATTAATCTATGCATGATTAAATTCGGACCGATTCATTATTAGTCTAAAAATGGTAAAAATTTGCTGTTATATCTGAAGCCATATTAAAATCAACTAGTGTGGTCTTTACAGTCAGTTAATTTTTCTGTTTAAAATGCAATTAATTATAAATGAATCCGGCCTTAGATATTAATTAAATCTTGATCAAATTCTGTTCTCTACTCCATCAGATCGAGTCTCAATTTCTTAGCCAATAATTATCGTGAAAGATAAACGAATTGTAACATATATTCTGATTTCTTTACGTTCACTAGATCGCCATGATATACAAAACGCTACCTCCAAGCTGTTCTAGAGCCATCGCGCAATGACTGAAGTATATCCACTAAAGACAGTTAATACTAAACCTTTTTGCTTTATAGATGGTTATTTAAAATTTCATCTTCTAGAAATACTATTATAAGAATCACCGTTGAAATCAATATTTCAAGATTAATAATCTTGAAGAAATGGAATATACCATTCTTGATCCAACTCTTAAAATGGTGCTTTGATATCATAACATCCTCCATCTGTAGACAATGAACAAGAGGGCAAAATATCATTAATAGTTTCTCAAACTGCTTGCTTGCATACCTTTCAAAATGCCTAGTTTACTTCACTGCAAGCAAGTGTTATAATACGGAATCACCAAATGTATGTGCAATATGAATAATACGAGCTCGTATGAGCTACTGCACTATCGGACGAGTGCACATTTACAAATCTACACTTTAATATTTCGATATTGGCCAAAAATGATTTTAAATAGCATGCCCAACAAATATCTTCTAAACACTCAATTTCTGTGATATCAATTACATTTACTAAACATTTTACTAATGGCATAATGCCATTCTCAGTTGTATTATATCTATTAACTGGCTTCTACTATCCCTAATGCAATGCTTAGTTTTAAAATTGAACTTTAGCGCAGATTCATACGCTACTAATCTATAATAATCCATGTATCCGATAAATTTACATACCCATTTTATACACTGTATGATGTAGGCATCCAATGCACCTATATCTATTATGATAAATATATTTATTAAAGTCATCAATCAATGAAGAATCGGCTGCTTTTATTCCATTCGCTTTCACTTATGATGAGAGCTGTAAAAATTAGTAAGGACTGCTATGGAATCGATGAAATCTTCCAAAGCAAAAAGGCAAAAGTACTGTAGAAACCTCATAGAGCTGAACGAAAACATATTCAAATTTAAGATTTTGTAACATAGTATTGGACTATAAAATATTATTTTTGTTTAACAATGTGGACCGTAGTAATAGAACTTTCTCAAGTTATCATGAGGCATATTTAGAAAGTCATAACTATTGTTTGTTATTGAAGATTCGATATGTCAGAGTACAGATGATCATATACAGTAAGGCGTTGAGTTACTGTTGATGAAGGGGGTAAAAATAGATACTTAGCCCATACAATGGGATAAAATTAGTTCATCGTGCTTTGGCTAGTAGAAATAATGTCTATTTACGGTACATACTGTAGCTCTTAGCATATTGAAGTTTAGTTGTTACTAACAATGATCTGAATAATCATAAAGTAAAGAGAATGTGCCTATACAGGTTGTAGCTGCAAGTAAGAGCAATGGTACCGTATTCAGTCAGGCAGCTTTCGATTATTTAGTAGTTCATTCTAAAATACCTTGAATCAATTTGCCTCTACAAAATCCAATATCATGCGTAACTGCTAACCAGTAGGACAGCTGCTCGCTCTAGTTTCCTAAGAAAACCAATTCAATAAACAGCTCACTAAGCAATTTGGTTAAAAAGGACAACAGCTTATTCTATAACTTACTGCAAGAATCATTTTCATGAATATCTCATTAAACGGTTTATTTTTTATTTCGTTGTGGTCCTAATCAACCAAGATTTATTCCGCATTTGTTTTCAAACATAGCCAACAAGTTCAACACAAAACAATAATAGAATCATTTTATTGTACTATTAGTAGCAGAAGTCATTCATTTATTTCTCGTTTATCGCCGATCAAAAGATTCTTTATCTCTATGGCTATTGTCCAAACTAAATAGATTATGAATAATTCAATAAGTTTTCAATAGATAAGAGCCATCGCAATCAATTGGCATCGTACTTCGACGCGACAAACTTGTGAATTAAGATTCTGTATATAAATCAGTCGTTTAGAAAAAGAATCAATTCGTTAAATTCTAGCTAATTATTCGTTCAGCTATTCCATCATGGCAGCAACTTATCTCTATCTTATAGTCACTATTGGTTGTCTGCTATCAGCTCAAGCTAAAATAATCCATCATCAGTACTGTATTATCGGTAGTGGACCTGGAGGTAAGTCAAGAAAACATTTTGAAGCTGTACATAAATTCTTTCGGTGGTTGCTTGTCATCGGCCCAATTAAATTAAGTCATAGTGCTTCTATTACTCTAAAGTAACCTAGGGCGTACTTTGTAAATTCTAAATTGATAATTTTCTCCCAATTTCGAAGATAACCTTTACCATTTATAATTAGGGCTACAGATGGCTTACTTCTTTAAACGTGCTAACAGAGACTATACCGTCTTCGAAAGGAGCAACATATCAGGTAAGTACCAAATATTATTGAGAGAAAGTTGTTTTGAACGGATTTTATTTTTATGCTATTGCTAGCTTGGCAATGGCAAGGTCTTTTCGACTCAAGTTTGAAATAACGTAGTCGTTCATAGTTAATAATTGCCGAGAATAGAGTAAGAGCAATGATTGAAACACTGACTTTTTTAGATTACTAACTTAAGAGCCCAACATTGGCCAATCTTTTGGAATTGCAGAGTAGTCTGCATCTTATTCTTTCGCAATGAATGAATTATCCTTAATAACCAAACCCATATTTCGATCCTGGGCGATTGCGCTTGCAAGCTTTCGAACGTTTTAATCTTAAGCCGTGACTAAATTAGGTCAATTACTTTAGTGAGCAGTAAAACATTGTAAGAGTAAGTTGCTTTACAAGGACTTTATTCTCATACTATCGCTTGCTTGACAATAGGAAGATCTTTTCAACTCAATTTCAAAGTAGGATAGTTCTTCATAATATTAGTAGCTAAGAATAGAATGAGAGCAACGATTGAAACATCGACTTTCTTAGATTTTCAACACAAGAACCAAGATTCATCATCTTTTCGATTAACAGTACTGTCCACATCTTATTTCTTCGCAATAAATTAATTATCCTGAATAGTAAGTCCTACATTTCAATCCAGACATTTGCGCTTGCAAACTTTCCAACATTTTAATTCTAAGCCATATATTAATTTGGTCCATTACTTTAACATTAAGTAAATTTGCTTCTACAAGTCGTGTATTCATCTCTGGACTAAAACTTTAAATCTAGTAAGTGACAAGAACTGTCTTTATCAATTTACAGGCTGCCATAATTCAATCGTACTTTGCTTAATAGACAAACTCATTGAGCCTATGATGCGATACAATGTTTTCAAAACAGTAGATGCTACGTAAGATATCTTATCGAGCACGCTTTCTTCCCTTCGATAAGCTAATCCGACGAAATCTATTCTTTATTTCGTTCAGTAAGCTTACAAAATAGAGACGACATCTGTCTTATTACGATGTATTAAGATCGAAAATGAATTTAAAAAATAGCTCATGCTTTTTCATTACACAAACATTAGTATTTCATTTGTTTTAATTAAGTTTGAATAAGACTACGATGCTCTACGTTTGATCAGGTCAATAAATGTCTTCCTTACTGCTAGTTGAAGCTTAATACAATCAAAGTAATGCAGTAATATATAAGGAATAACGATAGCATGGTCGAACTGAGCCAACTATTTTGATATTTTGCAAGATTACCAGGCTCAAATAATTTGGAACTAATAAGTATACAGTATAAAGTATTTGCTAATTTTTATTAATCTTATTCTCTAGGTTCCTTTTTTCGCCAATATCCAAGACATCGCCGCTTGCTATCAATCAATAAAAATAATACAGGTTAGTTTTAGTAGTTTTCATTGATGTCAGCATGGGTTAAACTCGAAATAATTTTTATTCTAGCAATCATTTTTATATCTTGTTATGCTGATTACGTGCTACAGGATCCAAAAATTCTGAATTTAATCTCAGACATGATTGGAATTCATTACTTAGCGATAATAACTCGCTAATCATGCCTAACTATTCTGATGAATATTATCCACATGCTGATGAAATGGTGAGGAGGCTATCCTTTGAAGTGTTATACGTAGATCTAGAATAGCCCTAAGTAGATTCTTATCGTTTGCTTGTAATAAAAATAATTACGACGGAGCTTAAGAAATGGAAGCAGCTAGAATTTATTTCGTTTCACCTATGACAAAATAATATATCCCGAGTAAATTCTTCCTCTAGTCCGTAAATATTAAATTATATAGTCAGTCAGAATCATTCATTTGTCTATCTTAAAGTTAATGAATACTAAACCAATTTTAGAAATAACCAGATTTTTACTTCTCATGTACAGCAAATAGTGCATTAACTATTTTTCCTGCAATATTTCAATTGTAACAGTGTTTCAGTCTAACTAATCCTTTCTAATGTCCCCTTGTCCTAGATCCGCTACCTAAACGATTATGCTAACGTACTGCAACTCAACATCCAATACAACACAGAAATTATCCAAATAAGTCGAGCTTACTATAAAAATTCTCTCCGATTTAAATTTATAACATCCAAACAATCCATTTATATGTGTGATGTTGCAATAATCAGGTAATGGTTTATTAATTTCTTATGCGTTTACATCGTTGCCAAATTTGAAACAGTACAATTTGCTAGTTGCTGATCTGTGATGCTAGAACAGAAGTAATATTGTATGTTTTCTAATACATTTTTTCATTGATCAATTATAATTATTGACCTAGCACTGGATTGGCTACACCAAATATTCCTTCTAGCATTACTGGTTTACATCATGCGATGGTGCGGTTAATGTTCGAGATTATAAATTGCTATCTAAACGGAATACTGTTAATTAATGCTTATGTCGGGAATTTACTCAATTAAAATATATATATATACAGTTTATCTAAAATTTCTGATATTTCTACGATTCAAAAAATTCTAATGGCGTAGTGAACAAATTGTCTTTCAACATATTTTATTCTTTAAAAAGAAGGCTAAGATATGAGTATTCTCATAGTATAAAATTTTGGTAAACTAAGAAATTCTTAGGGTATTTTTGCTGGCTAATTTTTACCTACGTATATTATTCGGGTACTTGACGGCTGCCATAAATTTTAAATTGTTATTTCTATTTCATGCTACTATATTTAACAGGGCTATGAGACCATGTCTACCAATACTTCCGAATATGTAGGCCAAAATATTCTTATATTAGGTCAAGGTAAATCAGATTTTTGTTCTGCTAATGTATCGCATCTCTGCTTTCAGCCTTAGGTAAAAATATAGCCAGTTTACTTAAAAAATTATATTCAATTATTCCGAATTCAATTGCAGATTTTATTTAGATGTTTCTAATAATAAATATATTACAATGACGATCATGAGTACAGGAGCTAATGTATTAGTTACTCATCCATTACTAACTTATGCATAAAAAAACCTAGAAAATGTTCATTTATTTTACTATCTTCATTTCTTAGAGAATAGATTTCATGCTCTTTTATATTAGCAGTTCGAATCGCTTATTACTTGATTTAATAAGAAAATAAATTGATCCTTTCATATTGCAGAATGCTGCACAACTTCACAATTTCCTACCAGTAATAGTTAATCCTAAAAGATATTTAAAAGTTATCTCTTACCTGGTATATAATATAGGCAATTCAGCATTTGAAACCGCAGAATCTTTATCCAGCGTCTCTAATATATTACATCTTTACGGAAGGTATGAAGACCGGATTCAGGATATTACACTTAAAAAAGTATTAAATGCGTAAACCCTAAAACCAGGCCAATAATTTATTTTAGGAATCGAATTCGTTTGGCAACTTCTACTCACTATATAGGAGACATTAGGTAAGGTGTTCATTTTCTTAAAATGGATATTGTTGAATTTAAAACATTGGATAGGACCTTGACTATTGATCGAATCAGGATCATTTACAAAGCATAGTAGTTCTTTTACTATTTGTAATGTCTGCTGGATTAAATCAGCAATTGATACAATAATGCTCGGCATAAGCTAATCACTCCAACTTTGGTCTAAAAAAGAAAGTACTCGTGTCTTATATCGTAAAGAAAATGATTCAATTACAGATTATTGTCGTACCTCATACATTTTTGCAATACAGCAGGTAACATTTATTTAACGATCATTAATTAGAGCAAAAAATACCAAAGTTATTGATTCTTACCAGCTGAAAACCCTAGATGGTCTTCTAGGTAACATTATTACTTTGTTATAAATGTATAGAAAATCTGTAGTTGAGAACTATGATATTAATCAAATATTTTTAAAAGATCTGAAACAATAACTGCAAACAGTATATACATACCACCTTATTATTTTTCGTAATTTATTAAATTATGATACCTATTAAGTAATTAAACTCTTAATAATGCCAAGGATTTCTAGAAATAATATTTATTGCTATTTCTGATGATAATTATGACCATGAATTAGAGGGAGATATGAAGAATGTTGGATTTTTCAAGAATAAACGAAATTTAATTGTACTGGGATTAAGAGCAGAACCACATCTTCCATTTCTATGTTAGATAACCACTACTTTATAAATTAATTACCGAAAAATATTTTGTTACTTAATTCAATGTATAAATTTGCGGTTTAAATGTGAGAAGAATTTTAATGTTGGTAATAATATATCAACCAATTACCATCTCAATAAGTTAACCAATTTTATTTTCAGATGATCTAACAGGTGGTAGTAAAGAGTATCATCGAATCATTCGTTGTTTAGGATTTCGAGTAAGGGCAGTTGCATAACATATCGGTTGTATACTCAGTTTCAGCCTTACTATAGAATCGCTTACGTTTAAAATCTACTCTGTGCGGCTATATTATTTAATCTATGCAACTTACAATAAATGCCCATCTATTTCTATTCAGTATGATAGGTCAATATTCAGTAGGACCGCTAATCCGAAATCAGGAGAAAAACATCTAGAAAGATACCCATCACTCTTACCCAACTATGAATCCATATCCGTGCCAAACATGTTCTTTGGTAAATAAATTTTCAACCTAAAGATGATATTAATTTGTCAACCATTACTATGTCCTTAAGATTTTATATAATTTCTGTATGTCAAGTATATCATTTGCTTTGCTGTATAAGTAAGTATTCTACACGATAATTCTATGTAGTTAACCTATTAATAAGATGGATTAATAAAAGTTACTAAAGATTAGATTAAATAGCAACTAATTCGGATTTAATAATTATCAATTTATTTTACAGCTGGTGCTTTAACACATTCTTTGGATTATCGACATTCTGGCGGATGCTGCATCCAAGGATTTCGATATACAGGTATACTGCAAGAATTTACTTATCGTAACAGATAATTATAAGCACGTATCCAATATTTTCATACGAGTATTGTGATACCTTCATATTTGCAACAATCTCTGCAACAATATTAAGTATACTAAGCCTTGGAAAATCCATAATAGATGTCAATCTTCCTGAGTTTTTAAACTATTTCTTCACTGGTTATTCTATTTAAGGCTAGATAAGGTTTTATTTTACCTGGCTTAATTTATGGTAGCTATGAAGTTTTGCACGGTTAGCTTTGTGGTTTTTCTAAATTTTAAAATTTTTCCACTACTAGCTCGAGCTTTGCATCGATTGTTAGAATGGCGTTATCATCAAATTCCTTGGCCATCTACAGATTTTTGGTCAAACCAGATCACAGATTATTTAATAACGCGAATAAATCAAGCTTCGGTAAGCTTGCCAGACTGCTTGATTTTGGCATAGAGGATCTAATTTCTTTGCCTTACGATCTTACTGTTTCCTTGATTTGATGATTTAAGATGGTATAGAAGTTATTCTTGTAACATCTATTAAAAGGCACTCATTTCCTATATGAAACTTTTATACCATAGGGATTATATCAAATGTTTGCAACATTAGCCGATGTAATTTTAATAAGTATGCTAAATAATTAAATTGAAATGGGACCTGATTATTTGTAATCATTTTAGTTAACGAGAATTACTGCTTCTATTCTAGAAAAAAATGGGCAGCATCATTATCTAGAAGACGTACCGGTTAGAATTTTGCCAAACTTACGTGGTAAATTTATCTGTAGTCATCAACCGATTTGGACACTGTAGAGGACAAAATGTGACTACACTGATATATAGTAGAGTTGTAGAATATCTGCTACCGCCAATCTATTTTTAATTCTACTTTAGAATATACCGGTAGGAAAATTATTGATGGATTTATCACTCTAACCTTCGAATATGGCAAAGGCTTCTCGAAACCAGGGTAAATACTCTAGAATTATTAGCTTTCTACCAATAATATTTTCGTGGAATAGAATTATAAATTCATGAAATCAGATTTACCACAAAATTTGATACTATCTAACTTTAATAGACAATTTTATTAATATTGCTCATCGTTTACCTATTCAAAGCCATTTAAGCAAATAAATGTTCTACTTTACTAACTTTGGAAAACCTTTCGTAAATGTCTTGTGTATTCTAGAAAGGATACCTTAGCTAAAGATAATTATAGCCATTCGGCAAAAATGGCCCATAAAAGCCGAAATATTCATCCAGTTATTCGATATTATAAGCAGTCAATCGAGGGTTCGTTAAGTGCCATCTACTATTATGACATAATCTTGCATTAAAATCATTGTTTTTATTCAGAGATCAAAGCCCTAGTCTATATCTACATTACTTTATTAATTACTTCGATTATATCTTTACTATTTTAGCGACTACACGTAAGGGAAGGCTACCTAAAGCGAATAAAATACATCATGTTGTAGAAGATTTTCTAACAGACTGGTAGGTATTTAAATTAATAATGAATCTTGCCATTCTTCAGCTGCCTTCTGTTAGACCAAAGATTGTGCTATAACACTAATCAAATGTAGGAGTGTTTATTCTGAGCATGGCCATTACCTGAAATTATTTATCGAGAATCTTTTCAGAAAAGATCTCAACCAATACTACACTAGTTCATGTTACAAGGTAAATTTACTCTGTTTAAACTGTTAATTAATAATTTTATCGAGAGATTATTATTTTAAGATTAATCAAGAAATTCAATAAATACTGATTGTAAAAGTATACGCTAATTCTAAAATACCAAAGTTTTTTAGTCAGTTACAATATAGTTGAATTATAGAAACCACATGACCCAAATTTAACATTAATCATCTTAGTTGCACTTTTTAAAAGTTTACCCCATCTTAGTGCCAAAGCTAAACTATTTAAATTCCGATATCCTTAATTTTATGAACCATTAATAGCATTTAGCTATTCAGAAATAATTTTTCTACTAGTAATCTGATCAGTAAAGCCAAAAGATGTATTTCACTTCTAAATCTAAAATTAATCATCAAGACCAGTCTTACTATTCTGGTATGAGGAAAAGATTTAATCGTCTTCCAATAATCTGATGAGCAAAACCATTGCTAATTTAGTGCAGATACTAAGGTCATTTAATTTTTTGTAGTCTTTTTTCCGATAAAATCTGGTTGCAAATGTCCACAATTTATTACCCTGTTATACGAAATTCTTGCTGCAGTAGTTATTAAATTGCTCAATTTCCTGAAATTGTTCCCAATACTTTAAAAAATTTAACGAGTCCCGGTAAAGCATCATTGATACTGCCAATATTAAGTACAATAATTCGACAACGACTAATAAGAAATTGCAAAAAATGATGTCGATTTGACTACCGTAATCTTAGAAAATTGACTAAATTAATATCATTTCTTTTCCTCTTTTCCATTTGTTATTGTATTATTATTTATGTAACAGCACACAGTAAATTGTAATTATGTTAAGAAAAATTTTGTTTTTATCACCCATTTTATAGCTTTCAATGACCTTTAAATCCTTACCGGAAAGCTGCAAGAGGCAATGCATACAAAATTTAAAGTCTTCTACTATGAAATTATAAATCTACGGAAAATTCTGTATTTCTCGATGTTTTGTATAATAATTTACTGTGAAGTTATTATTATAAGCTAAAATTTTAGTTTGATATTCTCTACTGATAAATTAAAACCTATGCCACCAGTTTGAAAATTTGCAATAAATTGCACTGCAATAAATAACGAAGATTGCAAATTTTCAATAAGACGGTATCACAATTTCTGCTATCTCTATATACTACAATATACATGCAATATACCGAAACTAATAAATAAATTAGGGAATCGAGAATAATCTACTTAATATTCAAATCGCTGTACGTTTATCCTTGTCAAGAAATTGGTTTGTGATACGTTCATGCTTACAACGCAATATAGTTACCAGTTGTGTAGACCAGCGAATTAATAAATATAGGTAGTTCGATCTATGATGAACACATAGAGTTTACAAGTGTAGAATAACATATTAGCAGAACATTATTACAATTAATCACGATTATGACGTAACTAGTTACAATAGTAAGTTTGTATTACATTAAATTCAGGTAATATCGAATCACTGCAACATAAAATAGCAATATTAATTATATAGTAGCTACTTTATGCTATAACTGACTAACAGTATACATAGTAATACATCATGTTAACTTATAATCTGGATAAATACAGAGTAATATATAACAGATAACACTTCTTAAAATTTATTTATGCTTAGCCTTTTCATATATAATTTACGAATTCAAAGCGAAATTCGATTTGAATAATTTGTTATTGATATTGATAGCTGTCGTACAAGATAGCAGTTTGTTAGTTTCATGCATAATTCCTGGTCATCTATATCAGACTCATCAACTTTCTGAATAGTATAGTACCTATGACTCTAATAATCTTGTGATACTAAAATTTTACGTTAGACTATTAATCAAGGTACTTTGGACGTAGAACGGCCGCTATTTACGGTCGTATTTCTCAATTTTACGCAGTTTTCGATCAGGCAATGTCCTTTTAATAAAAAATAGCATGATACTAACATCTTTTGAAACGAAAATTCTTAACATCAAACGCCGATTTATCCTCAAGCATGACTTAATTTTTAACCATAATACTCATACTTGCACTTAGGCCCATTTTTTAATCATTATCCTCGGCATCGAATCCTACTATCCGTTAATAAAAGAAGCACAGGTATAGCTTTTAACTAGGGCTGATTTATCTTCAGACTATAAAAGTAATTTTCATCATTAGATATAAATTTGGTAACATTAATGTCAAGTCCACTATGAAACTTTAAGTAACTCATGATAGGCAATCAAAACAAAGAATTTAATTTAAGGCATGACTGGAATAGCTTGCTCAGACATAATGAGTCACTGGTCATGACTCGTTATTTTCGACGATATTATCCCTTTACTGATGAGTTGAAAGTATTACTGAGTAACTTTTAATTTCGATTCCTCAATACAATATTGCCTTGATGTATCTCTAAGCTGCTACGGAGAATATTTTAATCCAAGTATGTTAATATAAAGCTAAAGGCTATTAACCTTATCATTAACGAAACAAATCCTAGTCGAAAGGAATGAATCATACAAGTATGCGTTAATATACTACATCTATTGCTATAAAATTTACTACAATAAAGAGGATAACATACAATACTACACATATCTCACGCGGTTCATTCTGCTTCAAAGACTTTCGGTCTCTAGCGAAAATTCATCGTTAATTATAATTGATGCTTATGATAATATTGCATTATTACTTCTATATTACGTTTGACTTTCTCAAGGTTAATATAATTTAAGATTTCAAGAGGTATCTCATCCCCAAGCTTATATATTTTGCTGGTAGAGATATAAAGGTAGACTATACCTTTACTTTATTCTACTTGTATACCTAACAATAATGTTTGGCATACTGAATCAAAGATGAAAACCTGCTCTATTGCAGTTTATAAAAATAAAGTTTGACGCAAGCTAGTGCTTGAACGTGATAAGGCGTCTTCAACATCATAAGACAAGAGTTACTCTTTCTCTTCAACTTCACTTTATTACATCAATTAGGTTTGCATTCCAACACTACGGGCTATTTGGTTGCAATCAGATCATCTAACTAATGCTATCTTACTAAGCGCAACCCATTCCTATCTAAAAGCGCTAATATATTTGAGGCGGTTCAAAGCTACAATTTGCATTGTAACTATCATCGAAGAATGGTAACTAGCACAATCTTACAGTCCAATATTCAACTTCATCTATTTTTGGATAATCTTCTCTTTTTATTCTTCAGCTAATAGCGGCTACATTACATCTAGTTCTGATCGAATCGAGCATACTTCAGCTCACTACAAGAGACTACTGAACTAATAAAGAGGGAAGCGAAACTACTGTTTGCAATACGGAAAATTCTTTCGGTAGGAAACTGTGTAAGAAATCACTGGAAAAAGAGTCCTTTAAACAGTAGCTTCACGTCCGTTTATTTCACTAGTGCAAGTATTAAATTATGACGTAATGCTCAGTTTCGCAAGCGATGAAATACGGAAGTTGGCAATAGCACGAAAATATTTATTTTCGCAAAGTCTTTGTGCTAGCCCGCTTTTTAGTAATAATATGATATAATTAATTATCGCCTTTCGTAGGAAGGTAAGTTCGACAGACTTGATTCCTTTTTTTGCAAGGTTTTATCGACTGCGAGTCCGTAAATATTAACTGACAGCCAGTTATCTCAACACTAACTTCCAATACCTTACATATATATTATCTCCTGTCATTACAAGAAAAATTATCATGGCAGTTGCTTTTGGCCATCAAAGTACTGATATTTCGTTAGGTAGTGAAACAGTTGAAAATGTTACTACGATTAGAGGAGATAAAGCAATCACGGAATCAACGATAGAAAGAATTATCCAAATTCTGGAAGAAGTTCCAGGCATTGCAGGGAAACTTGATTTCCTAAAAGCACCGTATGATGCTCTTACCTGCGCTGCTGCTTATCAATTATTTTGTGAATTGCCTTTCGTGATTAAAGTTCCTAATGTGTTAAACAGAGAGCCTGAAGGTTTAACTTTAATTGTTTGGAAAAGATGGATTGATGTTACAGATAAAACTACAACAGGTTTCTTAAGTGACGCTCAGCTAGCTGCTATTAGGGCAGAAAGGGTTACCCGTATTCCTATCGCAACTGTATCAGCCAATGCTTGGGAAGCGATGGAAAGGCATATTAAAAGTTTAATAGGAAGCACAGATCGATCCATTTCCTGGCGAAATCAACGTGATCTGCCACAGCCAAAGTATTCGAATAATGATAGCTGTTGTTGCTTTTGCACAATTTCTTAAATTTTTTTATACACCAACAAGTATTCATCGTTCAGGACACCGAAACATAGACCAAAGTGATCAAATGGTTTCATCAACTTACTTAAGTAGAATTGTAGGTGCTCTAGAGTACCTTACTGATAATATAAAATATTGCTTAATACCTCACTCGTGTCCAATAGTATTATTATCCATGTACTTTCTACCAAGAATAATCTACTTGATCCTCATTGTAAAATGGACAGCTTTTTCATAGCTATACTCTTACACCCTTTTAGCATAATCGCTGGTTAACGCATTAGGCGAAAATTATAAAAACGCGCTTACTACAATATGTCGTTTTAAAATTCATTGTTTGTCAATAAATATGTGATTACTACTTTGCTGTGTTATTTTACCTTGAGAAAATTGGATAAGTACCTGTAGCTAATAGTCATTAATAGTAAATAAAGTATAGTAAAGCCTTCTGCATTAAAGTTTTTGCTTAAAATGACTTCCAAGGTTGAAATGTCGAAATAATATCAACAATGAGAGCAATTTGATCTCAATAGTTAGTAAAATGAAAGCTAAATTTTGTATTACAGTGTACATCAGAAGTCTATCAATAGGTTAAATTAGCAGTATCTTGTATCAGTTCTTGCTACTGATTTACACTATGCTTCAGCAGACTATAAAGTAGGACATGGTTTTGATGTCAGTTGAACGAACAATATCGCTGTATTAACTTTTCAATGCTTATATCTTCTTTACCTCAAATCTTTTTTGTGATTGTATCCATTCCTCGTATTGATATTAAGCCAATGAATTCAAAATTTATAGAAAAACATAACATTTCGCCGAAGTTATCAGCCTAGGATTGACTTTTAGTGGGCAACTAAAATACCGAGTGGTAAATTTTTGCGTAAAACTATTCCAATATAAAATTGTAAAACAATTCATATTCTTAGTCGCCTAACTAATTAAGGTAATCTCTGAATGAAAGCTTACTAAAGAAATAAGAGCTGTTGAATCAAAGAATTTACCTAATATAATGAGCCAGTTTACGTTTATATTCCTGCCATCATGAGTATACGAGAAGAAAAATATTATGTTTATACTAGATTGCGAGATTGTTCCATCTAGTACTACGAATAAAGTATCTGCTACTTTGGTTAACTGTACAATATGACCTCATTCGAATACAAAACCTAAACGCTTTAGCATAAAATAATACGGAATCACTATCTCATGTAAGATAAATAATACACATAACTATATTATCGACAAAGATGACGTCGCTCGCTAATAATGCTTGATATAAATTTTTTGCAATCAGCTAGTCCAAGGACAGTTAATCTAACAGTTCAGATTTAATACACTATGATACTGCTTTTACTTTTCTACAACAAACTAAAAGCCTCCTACACCAGACGTATTTTAAATTGCGTTTATTTTTAAAGTTAGTGACCAACAATAAACCTTGGCGTCTTGGCATCCAAGATCGATTGCACCTTACACAGTATTGCAACATAACAAGTGCAGTGAAATACGGAACAACAACTAGAAGAACTGAACTCTTAAATTACCACATAAAGCTTTAACTATACTACTTAGGTTAACGTCGTCATGTCTTACGGACTACCGTACCTTGTATCGATTCGCCTGTGTAGGCAATTTTGCAGTTTGTTTACGTTTGCAAGCTACTCAGTAGGTTTATCCATGGAGTGGCAGTTCATATCATTATTAATGTGTGCACTGCTGACTATGAATGATAATTAGTAGACATAAATGCTGCTGCAACTGGCAGTATCTCATTATAGATCATCCGCAGTATGGCGCACCAAAGCAGCTAGGTGCATTTTAATTACCATTCTTAGCATAAGCCTTAGTTATGACGTAATATCCAGTAGAAGAGTAATGAAATAGTTTGACCATGCGAGCAAATGTTTATTTTTGCAAAGCCTTTTCTGCAAACTCGCTTTTGGTTATTGCCTTACTTAGTAAAGTAAATTAGATAGATTTGATTAGTTTATTGCTAGACTTTCGCGACCGTGAATCCGTAAACATTGAACAACAACCAGGTATCTTGACTCTAAATTCCCATCAATTTATCATTCTCTGTCAATTCAAGAAAAAGCACCATGGCAGTTGCCTTTGGCCATAGAAGTACTAATATTGCGCTAGATGAAGAAACAATTGACAGCACTATTCCGCTAAATGGAGATAAAGCGATTACGGAAGCTACGATAAGAAGGGTTATTGAAATTCTAGAAAGCGTTCCAGGCGTTGAAGGAATGCTTGATCCTTTCAAACCACCGTATGATGCTCTTACTTGTGCTACGGCCTATCGATTATTTTGTGAAATACCTTTTGTTATCAAAGTTCCCGATGAGCTCAACAGAAGTCCTAATGACAGTACAACTATAGTTGTTTGGGAAAGATGGATCGATATTACAGATACAACTACTACTGCTTTTTTAAACCATTCCCAGTTGGCTGCCCTCAGAGCAAAGAGAGTTACCCGTATTCCTATCGCAACAGTATCAACATCAGCGTGGGAATCCATGGAGAGGCATGTTAAAAGTTTGTTAAGGAACTTAGAATCACGAAAATCCGAATATGAACCGCTACTGGAAAATTATTCTAATGATAATAGTAGCTGCTGTTGTTGTACAATTTGTTAAATCAATCAGTCAATAAATATGTACCAATCATTAGCATACACTAAAGCTTTAATCAAAAATGTAAAATGATTTAATTAGATACTTGAAGAAGAACTATAGATGCTCTAGGGGACTAACATAATGAAGTACTTATTTTATGCCTACACTCGTATCGAATATTATCGTTATGGAAGTACTTTTCTGAGCGAGAAAGTCGAATTAATCTCAATTGTAAAGAGTACGACTTTATCATTTTCTATACTCTTTTCAGGTATATACTAACTAGAAAAGAGCGAAAATCATAAATATATTACTGCACGCGTATTTCGTGTTGAAATTCATTCTTTGTCAATAAATGTAAGGCTATCTTACATTAGATAAGGCATTCAGCGAAAAACCATAGAGATATGCTACTATATGTTTGTGTAATACTTATTTTAATTTAACCAATTAATGCATGGTTATTGTAATCTTACATAGGATAAGGTCTTCAGAGAAATAATAAGCATAGTGTTGCATTCGTACGGTAGCTGTCATCTTACCTTGCGAAAATAAGATAACTTGGCAAGCGCTAATGAGAATAAAGAAACTGTAATAATGCCATCGCTATTCAAAATTTTTTGTCTAAAACAAACTCTTAAGATAGAACTATTTAAAAAATATCAAGTATGAGAGTAATTTAGTCTCAATCGTTAATGAAATGCATAACAGCTGATTTTTTTTATTAAGGTGTACATCAAGAGTCTTTTTAATAGCGTGAATTTGTCTTGTTTTCGTTCTTGCTGCTGCATTATGCTAAACTCCAGCAAGCTTTAAATTAAGACATCATTTCGATGCCTGTAGCTATGATAGTAGGCACTACTGTATCACTCTATCAATGCTGATAGGAATTTGAATCTGATTAGTTATCGCCATTTCTTCACCATAAATCTTTACCTGTGATTATACCCGCTGGTCTTATTCATATTGGACTTCATGATTTAAAATTTTTGGAAAAATATATTATTAGGATGAATTTATCAACATAGGATTTAATCTTACTACCCATTTCGAATATTCGCTTAAGTAACTAAGGCAATCTCTAAATTATAGAGCTGACGGATCAAAGAGTTTGAGCAGCGTCGTGAAATTTTTTTTATTTGTTCCTTACTATCATTTCTACCGTATCTGAGTATAGAATTAAGTAAATATAAGGTATATACTGATTGCGAGATTGTGCTCTACACTACAACGAATAAAGTATCTCCAAAATCGTACAAACTGTGCAATAGGATCTCGTTTGAGCATGAAACCTAAACTACATAGTGTAAATATTTAATCACATGACCATACTATCGACAAAGATGAAGTTACTCTCCAACAATACTTAATATGAACTTTGATTTCTTATTATTTATTTTATTTTCTGTCAATTTAAGCCTTAATCGAAATTAATTTTAATCCTCCTATTGGTTACTGTAAGCATAATAATATTTTTTCAAGGCTAGTTGTTTGACTTGTAGAGTTTCCACTGTAGTGCATTCTATCCACGCAGAATTAATTGCATAATTAGTTATCGATTGCTTTCAGTAGTGTATGGTATTAATTTATGAGCTTGAAAGCTTCAATCGTCAAAATACCCAAATATTCCTTTCCGACGTAACGTATCCAAACAAGCAAACTTATCGAATCAATTTTATAGGATTAGTACCGTATGTAGTTTAGAGAGAACTGAAATCATAGCATGGAAAGAAAATTACATATTTAATATGTTCTATAAAACGTTTCACCTAGTTGATTTGTGATAAAATTAAAATCAAGTAAATTAGTACGGTAGCCCTCCTAACTCTTAATACAAATAAACAATATTGTAATTTTCAATTTTGGAAATTTCTTTAGTTATGAAGGTAAAATATCGTAAAGCTTCATTCTTCAAAAATACTACATTACTCTCATGTATTAATAATATCTGTTCCAAGCTAGGCACAGTATATGCTTGACTGTGACATACAACAGTGCTTGGTCGATCTGAATAGGAAGTAAGCTTACTAAAAAGAGCATTTTCCTGAAAGTATCAATTTTACTTATGACAAGTATTTTTAAGTGTTTAAATACAGGCAAAAACAGATGACTAATCAAGCAACCCTTTGTGATTTGATATTGAATACCAGTATATTCCAGAGATAGTAGAATAAAACAAGTAATCTTTTTCTATGGACTTTAGTCTACAGAATAGCTATAGTCTTACATATAGCATCTCCATTAGCAATACTGACTGTTGTAATTAGCTTGTTAAAGAAAGTATTGAGTATCATTCTATATATCAGTAGATATTTCTCCTCAGTCATGAACTCATGACAGCATCATCAAATATCATAATAGATCGCAATTAGCATACAACGGAGCACATTTGGTTACAGATAAAGGCTGCAACTGTATATAGTGATGTAAATTAGTGTACAGTGTCAAAGGCATTTTTATCAGGCTCCCAGCTGTGAGATTGAGCAAACTTCAGTACAAACAGGATTGTAAACAACAGTGACTTGCCAAAAAGGATAGCAAAATAGGGATGGATTGATTCCGAAAACCTATTTACTAATTTCACTATGTCAATTTTGCACTCGTAAATAGATGAGGTGGTCAGAAATTAGGGTTAAATGGTAAACAAATCAGTAATACAGCAAGCATACCATGAGTAGTTCACACCGCATACGAAGGTTAGAGTAAAACTGTATCATGTAAAGTGTTATGGGTAAGGATAGCTATAAAAGAAGTTGATTGAGGATCGATCGTTAGGAAAAATTAAGGTAAAAAATATTCTGTAGATACAAGAAATTAACGGATGCAATAATGACAGAATAAGTGATTTGGTTATAGATAGAATGCCGATCCCTAATACGTAGTACTACTGAGAAATACGCAAGAAATATGTATCGTAATTTCCATTCTTTCCAATCCTTTTCTATGATGCAATAAATTATGATGTATGGAAGATTGCTACAAATTCCCTATATATTTTCGACCAGAGGAGATTGGCTTGATATTGATATGATATAATGTGGGAAAAGAGATCTATTATTAGAAATTATCATTTTGTTCCGGCAGATATAAATAAGATGCTTATGATCGATGTACGATATCGACGTGCTATGTCGATATTATAATGATATACAATATTTATGTAATCTTGAAAGCAGAATATACTGCACCATACTAAATCCATAAAAGATAAAATTTAACAATTTAATAATTACATATAAATTAATTTTGTACTAATTTAAGGTTTACGCATATAACGATCCGCAAACTAAGCTGTCACCTTTCACTAATTCTGAGAAAGGAGCATTCTAAACATCGAGGAAAATAAATTTAGTTCATTTTACGCATTACGATAGTTTACAATCATTTTTCTCTGGGTTCTATAGCAGTGAACTCTTTATATTATGTAAAATATATACAGTACCTGTGATATAGCTCTCAAAATTGACTAACATTAATGTACACGCTATTTCGTGCACTACAATCGCTTACGATTTTTTATGTAGCTAGCTCTCAAGATTGCTAAGCATTAATGTATATGGCATTTCATAAATTACTTTAGTTTACGATTTCCATAATTATATACGCATATTTTCACTATAAACTGTGTTCAGATAAATTAGCGTAGATTACATCTCCAGAAGCGTTTACGGCATGACTTTAACTCTTTCCGAAACCTGCTTATCGAAACCATATGCACAATGGGACTTTACAATCCTGCCGATACAACAGCGAAATATTGAAGTGTATATATACGTTTAGTACTAAGCTTCGTACATAAGAATCGTATATCTATAAATTAAAATCACCTTTCAAAATTTAAGCATTGGACGAAGATTAAATACTTCCATTACAATATCGATTATTAATTCATAGAATAACAGTAGTTATTTCATTCAAAAATAGAAAGCTGCTGTATTTTTGTCTGTAATATTTATCGATCTTTCTCATACGATCATAATTCCATGATCTCTAGGATCTCTATTGACCTCATCAGAAACATTAATCATAACTGGTTCCTAACAAAAAATTCGTATACTGCAGTGCAAGTATAAAGATTATAAGGTGATTTCAGAACATTCAATTCTCCTTTAAAGCCTGGAATATTTTCTAGAATTTCAGCAACTCTCTTTATCACATTTTCTGTTGTTGCTTTAGTTCATCTAACGTATCGATGTATTGAAAATGTTGAAAAATAGCAAATAAAGATGCTGCAATGAGCATTTAAATACCATTAAATTTGATTATTACTTCATTTCTATTTATATTTACGCGCAGAAATCAATATTACGCCGGAAACACTTACTACTATACGAATATTGGTCGTCAATATCATTTCTACTAAGGGAAAAATCTACTCACTGTATTGTAACCAACCACGGTTGCTTTTAAATATAAATCAATTACATAATTTTATAACACGCCTACACTTATACAACGTAAACAGATCATAATAGAGTAGGAATACAGTCAAATTAATGCAAGATATAGATCGCATAGCCCTGCAAGATATAAATGTATAATCGTGGTATAATAGCTATAGTTTGATTCCAGTATTACAATTAAATGCTCTTGGTTCAGATTTTAAATTTCGAATTATTTATACAATATTTTAGATTATACTTCAATGCAATTCTTATTAAAATCCAATAGATGGCCTGGTACTGTTACAGAGTTCTATTCAGTATAGTTGAAAAATGTCTATTCAGAGCTCTCATTCTCAGACAGTATGGTAATATAACAAGAAGAAGAGCATTATTGACCCAACAATATCACTATAATACTAACTAATATTCGATTTATGATTGACACACCTGTTGATTTCTGATTCTTCGCATTAATTAAACTACAATTTCCAGCTGTAAGCTCACGATAAGCCACTTCTTTACTGGCTATTTAAACTAATAAAGTAAAGCACCTACTTAATGTAGAAGCAAGCTATTCTAATCATTCTTTCTCGATTAGAAACAAGTGTCTACTGCTTCCATATACTACAAAAGCAAATATAAATCGCCTACCATGTTTAGAGTGGCACTTCACGAACCTAAATTACTAAATTTTCAAATCTTATCAGAGTTACCCAGTAATCTTCGCCATCTAAAAGCTTATGATTGCCGTTATAGATATGACTGTAAAACCTATTTTGAAGATTAATGTTATCTAAATTATAGACAATATAATAAGTCTAGCGCAATTATCTACAATCAAACTAAACTGATGGCATCGTCCTTCCTAGCTGAATAATGCAAACTAACGATAATCAGTCTCCAAATCATCCCTCCTAAGAAGTATCTAGTCGTATTGCAATCTTTTCCTCTATACTAGATATTATTTAAAAAGTCCATATTATCTGTATTATCTCCATACTAGATATTATGTGCACTTTGAACTTTATGTAACTTTTACTGTACTACTTCAATTCATTTAAAACAACATCACAGTTGCCACTGAAATTTTATTTGTTTATACATCTTTATAATCCATTATGATCAGATTATGATGCAAGCAAACTATGTTATCTTACAGAACAGACATCATAATCTCAATTCAGTAATTAAAGCAAAATAGGCTTTGCTAATGCGATATTTAACAGTGTATTAATTATTATGCTCGTTCGATAGAGAAATAATTTATTACAAACATTTTAATTAGAATACAATGACAGTCGAACGATTAAATACCTATATAAATTAAAAATTTAGCCAGTCAATATAAATAGTCGTAATTGTAGATACGATGCTTTATTGATTGAATCTTGATCAATCAGTCCTAGAAATAATCATTAATAAAATTTATAATTAAAATTTTTTTATTTTATGCTTCTGAGCCTGCAAATCAATTTTAGTTGCCGTAATCATCAGTTCCGTTGGGATAATGTAAGAGTCTTGTAACGAATCACTGCTTGTTTCACTAACATCTTTTCAGCATAATGAAAGAAATTGGGTAGAATTCATTAATTTATTGCAAGAAATACAAGTAGCATTAAAATTAGAAAGATTGATTTAAATGCATAGATTGCAACTGATTGCCTTATGCGATGAACAAAACTATTTTTCCAGTACGATACGTCACCTACCAGTAAATTTAATTGTAGCTGAAATGTTAACCTACCTTGTACATCATGTTTATTTTGCCTTCCTGCAATGCCAAATTCCTAATACCAGCACAAAAAACGAATAGATTAATTAAATAGAAATTAAACATCACTACTTGTTAATTAAATACCGCATATAAATTGTAATTTAATACTGTAATATGGTTAAGAGCTGCAAGATTATGCTTACTATTATTTAGTTATGATTTATAGGAGCATTAACGGCACAAAATTTAACATACAATTTGATCCTGTTGCAATGGAGTTCCATTATGATTTGGAATATTGTCGGCAAGAATCACTTCAGAGCCAGAAAAATGATCTTGTTTTGGTTTCATCGTCTGATTAGATAGATGGCTTTTGTTATCATGATATGATTTATAAGAATCGTAATTAGATCTATTGGTGTCCGTATAAAGTACTTCGACATCGCGATTACTATTCATTAATCTTCCATTTTTCAATTTTCTTTCTAATCGCCTCAACGTTGCTTTCTTATGGATCACTTGCAAAGAAGACTTTTCTTTCTCTTTAGTACTAGGAACTGGTGTATTTCGCAAACTTGATGATTCTATATGCCTACTCCGCTTGTAATTGCGCGAAGCCTTGGACTGAGGAATATTTGATGGCCATTGATTTCGATCTATATAGCAAATTAAGGAATTACATACGATAAATCAACTACAAAATTTTGTATACATAGCCGAGACAGTACATATTACATTTTGTTGCAAATAGAGCAGAAGTAATTTCTTATAGAAGGCCTTAGTTGTTTATCTAGCAAGACATACCTTGCTCATATACGTCCTCATGATCAACCTGTGGTATTGGTTCGCTAAAACAGTCAGCTGCTCCAATTGAATATTGATTGTAATCTTGGTATGGTTGATCATTCAGAATTCGCCTTAGAATGATATTAAAGCCTTTATTTATATGATTTATATGATTTTCATACAATTATTCTTAATACAACGATTCATACTGTCTTGCAGCACCATTTCATGAAAATATCCAACTTCAATATACTTATCCATTTCTTTAGAGTGTAGGATATATATAGAAAGATATTTAATCTTAACAGGTACACACCTTATATTAATTTCTTTTGCTGATGGACTTGGTAGATTTAAATCTAGCTGATCTGTGTATAATTAAAGAAATAAGGAATATATCAATACATCTTAGACACGTATCATTGATTGAAAATTATATTAATACCATGATTACCTAGATAGCTCTTAGTTTCTCTTATGACATTTGCCTATTAAGAAGGAAAGGGGTCACATGAATGAACAACGAGAAAGACTTCTTTGTAAAACTATTTCTTAAAGAATAGACTATCCTTTTCAAATATGCTTTTTAAGCTATAATGTCGAATTCTATTTCAAAATTCATTTCGTTTATTAAATACCTGAAATAGAGCAACTTGACTAGAATTAGCTGGCAAAGTAAGTTGCTCCGAAGTTTGCTTATTACGCTCCTTAGATATTGCAACATCGCTAGTGGTTGAGATACCATGCTCTATTAATTATCAAACTGATGCATTAGCTAATAGTATTTTGAAGCCGTAATATTACACAATCATCACCATTTGAATACAAATAGGCAATTTTACTTATAACAATGACGCTTATAAGTATTACTTTCTAAAACTTTTTGTTGTTGCTGGAGCAATTTCAATAAGAATTCTTTTTCTTTGCTAACTGTCAGGCTTTTATAACGTATAATAGCTGCAAATGTCCGATTTTCACTCTGTAGTTTTAAGTCTATAAATGATTATCATATGTACCTGAGAAATCACCACAATTCAGCACTTATCGATTTTAAGGAACAAACTTCATAATATCAATCATGGCTATACTTTAAACTTACTGTCTACTTCTCTGGAATGCATCTGACAAATTAACTGAAGCTCATCTCCATGATTACTATTTTGCACAGAAAATTTACGTATCACATGCTGTAGTTGATTGCTTTCCTGGTGATTATGACGAAGATGATTTTCTAACTCGGCTTTCTGCTCAATTTTTTGATGATAGTCACTTAATAAATCGCTAAGATTCTTCTTTAGAACTATTAGCGTGTTATGATTCCATTCAGAGTCATCACTGAATGAACGATCATCTTCTCTAGAATATATAAATACAATGTATCATGAAATTAATAGAGCATCTTTCTTTTATATAAATCAAATCAATTAAAAGGTTGCAAATAGTATTGAACATGCACCGAATTAGGTGATATATGAATTAGTCTCAAATCTGAATTTTAAACTAAGATTAGGTTATTATAATTATCGCCGCACAGAATTTCCTGACTGTGTAATTTTCTTAGATTATTTGGCAATTTATCATCATTTTCAACAATTCGTAGGGCAATATTTTATTTGATTATTAATTTATTTTTATAAGCGGTAGCGGTGTCTACAAAAAATAATAACTTAACAGTTGATTTAAAGTATTATGGTATCCTTGCTCTTACTTTTCAATGGTTATGAGATATTCTCTTGATTTTAATACAGTATGAAAGAGTTTTTCCTCTATTTCTAAAACCTCTTGCCTAAGGAAAAATAATGTTAGCTTATTTTGCAATATAAATGATAACGTAATAAATGATCATCTGTAATATGTCAAGTAATTAATGATAAATATGAAAAGTGCGAACAAAAATTTCATCATATCATTATTTTGTGCAATTTTAGATCTGAATAGAATTAAGTTTTCGAAGTAGTAGCTAAATAATGAAATAGGTCGTGCACCTCATGGTCTTTTGTTCGTTCAAAGTATTAACCAGCTGTCTCTTTAGCCTTTCAAATTCCAATAACTTTCTGCTCTCTACCTGATTTGACCGTTTATCAGGTTGGTTTTCATCTCCTATAAAAAGGAAGATAATAGTTTAGAGAAACTAACATTCGATACTTAGCAATAATCTATTCATTTTGAAATTTAGTTTCTATAGCAACTAATATTATGGACGATTGTTCATCACTACAATACTTAGAATTTCTCTCAGGTATTATTGCACTATTTTTTAGATAAAATAAAAAGGTAAAAGATTATGCTAATATTAATTATGTATCTTTACCGGTTAAAAGTTTAAGTAGATACCTAAAGCTCTAAAACATTCTATCATAAGGTCATCTGTATTAGGATGAAATACTTTCTCTTGCTTCTAATGATAAGAGCACAGTATTCTAATTATGTTGAAAATAAGGAGCATTTAATCCTAAAGGAATGGTTTCCATAACAACGTTTGCAAATTCCAGTAATTAGAATTACAACCAGTGTGTGAAAAAAATCTGCTGGTGGTCATCTGAATTGAAAATATGCTTCTTTGTTTTCTAATACTAAGTAGTCCTAATGACAGTAGATCGTGCATGGAATAATGATCTATAACTTATTTCTGCATATAAATTCATAAATCAAATTTATAATACTTGCTTTATAAGGTATCATGAAGTATAGCATACGTAGAAAGCAATAACAGTCGCTAAACATCCGAGTGAGTATGTCAATAGTTAAAGCAGCGGATACGTCATGATAAATAATTAATGATCAATATTTGTATTATTATAATAACAAAATATTACAATATAAAGATATGAGTTTGAATCGACATGATTAAATTTTAAATTAATCGAGAATCTAAATATCCCCTAAATTGATTGCCAAATTAACTACCTGATTGTATAAGAGGATGATCGGTCGATTCATAATCATGAAGTTTTGTCTCTAATCTAGTAATTTCTTGTCTTAAATCGTCAACAATTTGACCATACTCTGCAATGTGTTGTGCGACATCGTATTTATTCGTCTTAGCACGAATTTGTATATTCTTGGCTCGGTGGGCGTAAACTAATGTATTTCTTGATTCTTCAAAATGTTGATCAGTCGGATTGATATTAGCAATCATTACAGTATGACAATTACCACCTAGTGAGTCCTAGAAAGTTATATATATTCTTTCAAATCAAGCTAATAACATTATTTTTTAAATTATAGATACCAAATCAAATTCAAATATTTCCTGATTGATAAGATAACCTCAGGTGATTATCAGATTATTTTATCGTAATAAAAATCGCTGCTATCGAAAGAACTTTAAATTCAAAGTATAATAACTTTTATAATTTATACACACCAGATGTTCCTATTTCAATATATTAATGCAAAATAATGACAGTGTCAATCATATCTAAAATATTTCATTATATTTCTACTAATTGTTAAATCCCTTTTAAATTTTGCGATTAAGCGAATAAAAGCATTAGCCTGCCGAGAATCACTTTAAAAAATATTCGTATTATTGTAAAACGCGATTTTGCAAGTATACTTCTGTTTCATTTCAATACAAATAATCCAATATTTACTGTTACTGTAAATAGTTATAAATTTTAGCATCCAATTTAATAGTGTTATTGTTCAGAATGAAAGCAGTAATAGCAGATGGTGCTATCGAAGAATTGCAACTATTCTATTACCTTGAGCAATCTTGTCAATTTACTGTCGCGATAATTAACATAATGTCCTCGATTTTCACCTATTATCCCATTTCCAAAGAAAATGATTAATTAAAGTAAAAATTTAAAACAGCAAATGCTATGTTCAGTATCTTTTTTTTTCATAGCAAACTTACTTAGAGCATTGATGCAGTTGCCTAAAGCTAGTAGAGATCGATTAATATGAGCACCTTCCATTAACCTTTTACCACGATTCTATAAGAAAAGATTAAAAATGAAAGTAGAATTATTCTATTTTCCTTCGTGTTATAATCATATTCTCCTCCCTTCAATCTTTTACAGCATTCTCATCAATATACATATATGATAGAGCAGGAGATCATAGACTGACGAATCGATAAAATTTCTTAGTAGCACTGTAATATTAATACTCCTCAAGTGAGATATTATTAAATTTATTCGTATTATGATGAGAAGAGTTTACGTTTGTCATTTATAATGCGATATATTATTATGCAAAGTGAAATTCCCATAAGTTTTATTCGTATCGTAATAGCAACCCAGACCTCAATAGATTATAATTCAGCATTAAGTAGTATATCATCGATGGTAAGTGGAATTAGTCAGCTACTATCATAGCTAAAGATTTATCAAATTCTAATTTACATGTTTAGATTTCACATTACAGAAAATCGCTTAGCTAGCATGTTTTCCGCTATTATTGCAAGCATAAGCCTAGCTATAAATGATATTCATTCTACTTTAAATTAAGTCGATCACTAAAATAGAGGCTTCTATGCCTTCTTAGTTTAATTAGGCACCCTACTCTTTGATATGGTAAAATGATCGGCCGATTTGCTAATTGCACATCTAGGTTCGTTTTCGTAATGTAAGTTTTTAATATGATATTATAGGTACTAAGATTATAAAGGTGTGAATACTGCCATCTATGAAAATAAGTAAATTACTTTCTAGCAGATATCTATGATTTAATCTGTTATAGAAAGCGACTTATACAAGCATACTTTAGAATAAGCAGTTATAGCTAATTAAATATGCATTATTAAGTCAATGACATTATAAGCTATGGTAGCAAAGTACCGTAGCTGATGTCTCTTCCCTATATTAGCTTAGGACAAACATTAACCTACCGCTTCATGAATATTACCATTATTAATCTCTAATTAATTAGACATTACTAAACCATTACTCTATAAACTGTGGTGGCAAAGTAGCTAATGTTTCTTCCCCTATACGATTTTAGATCGAAGATAACTGTAGACTTTATGAAAGTTACTGTTATTGATGGAAGTGATTTAAATAAAAATAGAACTATTTCGCTGTAAATAGAAGATTAGCAATTCTACCTGGGTATTGGCAGCGCGTTCGGAACCAGCCAAATCAATCATAAATAATTTACCCACTTCCACTCTTTGTATTAGCTGTCGTAGTTTAGCCTCCTTTTCTACAGTTACTTGCAATACCGCGTGGGACCTTGAAGAAGTTTTATTGGCGGCTGTGGGTTCGCAGGTTCTTTCCTCATTGCCTTTCAGTAATAATTTCTTAACCTATTGCATGTATAGTATGAGTATGCTGCAAGCTAATACATACCATTAAAACTATTTTTGTGTACTATCCTTGGATCTTTATTCTTCTAAAGATCTGTAGGAATAGGAGTTCATAAATGACTAACTTACATCTCGTATAGAAGTTGTTTTAACTTCTGTTATTCCAGTTACAACTGCATTGCCTTTAGAATCTTCACGAAGTTCTAAATAACCTGCAGCGGGATTCAAAAGATCTCGAATGGTTTCATTATAAATCTGTAATGAAACCGCGTGGTCCAGTTAAGAATTTTCCAATTCAAATCCAATAAAATAACGTGAAACAAATTTATTTTAAGACATTCCTTCTCTTCATCTCATTATTTCTTGGAGGTTAGACTTACTTCGATATAAGACATTTTAACCCGATAATGCATTTCATTTTGGGTTATTTCCATTTGATGAAAGAGGTCTTGTAGAGTTAATATCATAATGCCAGGATTATCGTCCTTACCAACCATGGTATAAGTTTTACCAGCTCCAGTGGCTCCATAAGCAAAGACTGTAGCATTGAATCCAGCCAAAACACTCTTTATCAAAGGCTTTGTAGTACCTAAGAAAACTTCTTTCTATATGATGAAAAATCAACAAAATGAATGAATGAAAGATGGCTGAAACTTGAAGTCTTAATATATAAAGACCCTTAATCAAAGCTGATACAAAATTTAATGATAATTAGTGTTAATACAGTACTAGAAAAGTGCTCTATAATGCTGTATATATTTAGGTATTTCCACCTTCGATCAAATCCAATTTATGAGATAAATTACAACCCCAGCTACCTTTATGTCAAGTTAAGTAGCACATTAGTAAGAGAGTGGAACTATTTTTCTCGCTTATGTATTATTATGATCACATTTAAGTCGATAAAAAATGAATAAACAGATGATCAAAAATACCATGGTAATAATATTTTTATTACATAGAAACCAATCCTTTTCCATACCGGTACTTAGTTTAATTTCTATGATAGCAAATATCTCATTAATTGATTGACAATAAAGGGAATATCGTACCTGTGTAGCTCCTTCATCGAATGCTGCATCATACATAAACTGTTTACTTCGAGATCTTTTCGTTTTACCAACGAAAATAGGATCAATATCATCATGAGGATCATCGAGAGTAACAATCTGGTAATAGAAATTGACAATGAGCAGAAAGTCTATAAGATACCAATTGTAACTCATTGATAATATAATTTATGAAATGTATTTCTTCAGTATAAGTAATTTACTAATAAGTAGACCAATTAGATGGCTATGCAAAGCGAATTAAAGAATGAGGCAAATTTGACTTACATTTCTATTTGCAACATAGGCAATCTTTTTATTATCGTTCAACTTCTCCTTAATAGGTCGAAGCCTGACAGCCACCTAAAGATATTTCAAAATGAGAAAATTAGTTGTAGAGATTTTACATTCAATCAAGCAATTCAACTGATGCAAGAGTTAAGAAGAAAGCTAAAGAAGGACATGACGTGCATAAAATCACATTGATCCTAGTAAACAACTTTTATTCAAACCTCTAAAGACTGAGCGAAAAGTAAAATACATTTCTCCATATTTTAGGTCAAATTGATCTTAATTAAATATTATTAGAGTGATACCTTCAAGGAATAAATTTATAACGCAAAATTTTTCCTAGAAGTAAAATGTATTTAGACATTTAAGATCGCATCTAGTTCAATTATAGAAATAAAATCCTTTCAATACACTATAGTCTTATGGTAATTGCCAATAAAGTAAAAAGATATCTAAGTAAACTGCTTTTACTATCAGGAAAATCATCGTTTTGAATTTAAAGAAGACTATAGTATCTTTTCACTGCCGATGAAAGCAGTTCCTATGTTGCTAGCAATATCACCCCATGGACTACTAAAGGGGAAGATTTTAGTAGCCCATGAGTAGACGTAATAACCTTCCAAAATAATCCGAATTTTATACTAAAGCAGAATATTTATCATTTTCATTTCTTATTTGGTTCATTTTTAAAGAGTTAATGCAGATAGAGTTAGTCAGGGTCCACCACTAGTCGGCGCTATACGCTTATAGGATAATCTAAATCTTATATAGAGCAGATTATTTATCGTTTTCATTTCTCTTGGTTTGTTTTTAATACAGATAGAGTCTGTCATGGTCTACCATTAGTAGATGTAACATGCTTGTATTGGAACTTAATCGAAGCAGAGCACATATTTATCGTTTATATTTCTCTCAGTTCGTTTCAATATTGATAGAATTAGCTATATTCTATCGCTACAAATTAGATAGAAAAAAAAACTGAATTAGAGGCAATCTAAGTGAAAAATAAAGACGTGAGATGGCTCAACATAGCTAGACTAGTCATCAAATGCTAGGCTTTCGTGTCGATATTTGATTATCAACAGAATATTGTTTGCATAGTGTCTAAGGAAAGTCAGAGTTGCATCTGCTTATCCATGCCCACTACTGTTATCGATTAAGCAGCAGTTACTGATAGTTTGATTATTAGTGTATCAGCATGCCTGCTATGGCATCGAATTTACTGGAACTTTTTAGGCCTTATTTACAGTGCATGAGACCTGTCAATGAGGAAATAACCGTCAAGAACTGAGAAAGGAAAGGATTATACTAGCTTAGCCTCGACCAATGTCAGCATATTCTGTCAAATGAGTAACTACTATTGAATCAACAGTAGCAATCTAACACTGCAGTATTAAGGCTAGTAATCTCATCCATCCATAGCGAAACAGTAAAACGGCTCTTTAATCCCTATTTTAAACCAATATTGCTACGTCATGAGGATTTGCTGCAGTCCATTTTAGCGCTAAGTAACAAAGGCAATCTACTTGGCAAGTCTATTATGGCCAACATTCAATAAAATACAGATTAGGTTGGTCTATGAAACTTAAGTAACAATTGTAAGTTGAATAATAAAACGGTCAGCATGAGCTTTTCCATCGCTTTTGCAGCTAAACATTGATACACGATAATTAGGGATGCTGATATATCTAATGTTTTGTGAATTTTTAGGAATGGTGAATGATCAAACTAAAAGGAAAATGGAAAATTTTAAATTCCAAATTGAATAGTATCGGCTCCCTTGCTTAGATATTTCCTGCATAAATTGAATTAAGAATTTAACAAGGGATTGTGAAAAAATTGGGCATTTTCAATGACCATCTATCTCTTGTCTAATACTGGAGATGATAAATAGGAAAATTCCGAAGTTTTGATCATTTAAACTTAGATATACTGTAGATGCTATTATAAATCATTTCTCTCTTTGGATTAAATATTCATAGGCCATCTATTAATTTAGGCTAAAGAAAAGCACCGGTATCATTAAACCCATTTTATTAAAATATAAATTTAGGTGTTAATGTAAGCGTATTCCTAGTA